CGTTCTTACTCGTCGTTTCGTTTTCATTTCACGCTCAATCACCCGAATACCTGAACCAGTCGAGAACCATGAAGCGCTAAAGAAAATGACGACCTCGTCTCTAAGAAATTATCCATTTTGAATTCAGAATTTCGACTTGAGAGAAAAAAGAAGAAAAAGAAGGAGGACTATGAGGGTGGCACCTGGAAACAGGTGCGATTTACGCGACGACCTATGTGTATCGGAAGCGCCCGATGAAAACACTTGAGTGTAAAAACAAAGTTAGTGGCGTAATCCGGTCGCCACCGTCCTCCTCATGAGGAGGTGGCGCGCGCGCGTCTTCCTCTTCCTCCGTCGTCTTCCGCCCCTTTGCGTCGTCGCTCTTTCCTCCCTTTGCTCTTTCGCAGGGACATGAGAGAGCGCCGTTGATGGGGTGTAGTGAGAGTCGCAGGGACCGTAACGGGCCGGATTCAGGCTCTTCCTGTCTTAGTGGTGTGGCGTTACCATGGTAACAGACTGTAAGCCGCTTAACACCCCCGGCCACTCCACTGCCCTGCACCTCCCGCCGCGCAGCCTCCTGTTCCGAGCACGACGGAATCCTCGTGGCTCCGACACACAGAGTCAACCCACACCCTGTGTGATACCCATGGCAGAGCGGGTGGTAGTAAATGTCGTTTTCCCCTCTCTTCTGTCCCTAGCCGCCGCCCGCCTCGTCCCGTCCCCGCTCCGCGACCGAGCACGGTTTCGCACCCTCATTGGTAACGAGCGGGCGAGAAGTCCCTCGACTCGGCACAGGGAGAGAGGATATCTCTCGACTGTCACCGAACGATCGCTCTTCGTAGGAGATGTGTAGTCGAGCCGAGAGAACGACGATTAGCGATGGAGGATAGTCGAGAGATTGGGATGTAAGGGCGAGGTGGGGTAGGTAAGTTAGCGATAATCTTCGTCGTAGGATGGGAACGAACTTGCGGTCGGAAGTTTCGGCGACGAAGTGCGAGCGGATTCTGTCAGAGCGGACGCTGACATCTCGCGGTTTATTCAAACAGCCAACGGCAGAGGGGTGAGGGGCCGGGAGTCTGCGAGAACAAAAGGTGAAACGGCGAGAGATACTATGCCGTTGAATGAGAGCGTTTCTCGCGAGGAGGACATAAAACCCCTTCGCTGGACGTGGTAGACGGGCGCACGCGGTAGCCACGCGCAGTGTGGCGTCGTGGAAAAAGAATCGGATACCTTCCCGCTTTTGTCTTGAAACAACCGGTATGACGTACGTTGTCGACCATACTTAGTCTATTCCCCTAGGTTATTCACCGCCGGCTCTTTCTGTCGTCGTTTTGCCGCAAAATTGACGAGCGCGCGAGATGAGCGGTGACGTTATTGGAGAACGGGCAGATACTGAAACGCGAAACTGAATTCCGAGCGACGAGGGATGAACAATGCGGGCGAAAAGGTGTTCGGTTCCGGAGTGTTTTGGGAATGAGAACAGAGCACGGACGACGAGGACGAGATGGAAACGAGGGATGAATAAAGATGGGCGACGAAGATAGCTTGGCAAAGGACCGAGAGAAGGAGGTGGGGCGGGGGAAAGAAGAGAAGGACCCGAAACAGCGCGAAGTCGTCTCTGCACTCCGCTGATGAAGAATTCAATGGCGGGACGACTCTATCCCTCCTCAAGAGATGGAAAGAGAAGACCATCGGGCATTATCTCTTTGTTATTTTCTCGTTTCATCCCCAAGGGCGTTTTTCGCGCGAAGAAGGAAAGGACGACTTCCTCGTTCAAGACAAAGGACAGCTCACATGCCCACGTGCGTCGCTAACCATAATAAAGAAAAAGGGGTGAAGACAGAAAGCGTGATCGTCGCGGACACTTCGTGATCATTTCTTCTTTTTTTTTTATGACTTATGTTGTTACTATTTTTTTTACCTTCATTAACTCGATCGAGGTTCAGCGAGCATCGATATAGTCTGACAAACTCCTCCACGGCTTCTTGCGTGTTCGAAACGAAGAGCTTGAAAGATACAATAATGCGATTTTCCTCTCTTAGCGTTTGCCACTGATGTCATTATGCATTTCGTCGGCTTTTAAGGAAACGTAAGTCGCCGAAGTGAAGAAGGAAAACAGTGAAGGAAAGATATTTTTGCGAAGCGTAAAAAGAGAAATATCAAAAAAATAATTTTTTAATTGAATCGATTACTTAAGGAAGTTGAGGCGACAATCAGAATTTGCCAGTCATCAAAATTATAGAATCAAATTTACATGGGAACCTCAAGACCTTTTCTTTAATATCCTTCCATTGTTTCACTGACTTTGTATACATTTCGTGGCATAATGAATACATATTACAATGCCGTCGCATTTATAATAACACAACGTTGCGTTTTTATATTGACCTATGTGAGACTCAGAATAATATGAAAAAATAATATCAAACAAATACAACATTTGAAAATAAATTTAGTGTTACCTCGATGTCACTTTAGTCAACCTTGATATGAAAAAGATGAAGTGAGGAAAGTGTGCACTATGGAACCACATTTGAATCGCAGAGCTACCTGTGTGCCTTTCTTAATATAATCAAACATGTCAGAACAATCAGTCTGCTAATTAAGAAACAGCATTTGCTTAGCAAATAATGTTATTTAATAATGCAAAGTTATGATGATAATTCTTCGAAAAGCATTTTGCAATGCACAGCTCCATCTACCGTATTATGTGTGATCACATTTACCAATCTTCTTTAATTAATAACTCAAACTTTTATGTGGTTGTTTGCGAATTGGTAGAGGAATTTTGTACTCATATAATATAAAGAAATTTTGTAACTCATATAGTATCAAGAAATATTGAATTTTGTATACATATATTGCACTTGGTTAAGTGGCGTGCATGTGTGTGGATGTTTATTTAATATGGTGCGTGAGTTTGGAATGATTTTAGTGTATTGAGTTACGTATTGGAAGATTAGATAAGAAAAATTATATAGAATGATGCTAAGTGAAAAATATAAAAAAGGAAAATATACTGATACTAAAGTATACATATATTGAACATATATACATTTTCTATGTTGAAAATTTAAAAAAAATATTCATATCTAAAGATAATAAGAAATGACCATAAAACAATAAGAATGACAGTTCGCTACGTGTTTAGACATTATTGTACTTTATCTCATCTCGATGTTGTCAGTTTGGCAATACGGCTCGAGTTAAAACTCAAATGTTTAGATTACGATTAATATTTCGTTAACGCATTTTAGGCAAGCGTTACTCCACTTTGCTCATTATTATGCGGCTCAATGTTGTCGAAGCGCTAGTTATGATTGACATGACCGCCTGTAGTTACATGGCGGATTTAAAATTATTTCGACTCTGTCGATTGTTCGTCCTGTCTCACGGGTCGCGAACGGCGATTAATTGTCACCGTCGTTTGTCTAATTAACGAACGTCGGCGCGCAACGACGATATTTTATAGCTCGTTCGGCTAGCGTCTCTCGCCGTAAATCCTAATTATTGTCGTCATCGGCGCGCATCGCGCTTTATCATATTGCTTGCCGTTTCCGCTGTGACGTCAGGAATTCGAAAGTAGAAATCGTAAGTAAACCTGCGCTCGACAACGTTCCCAGCCACTTCATTCATTACGGCTGATCGTCTTCGTTAAATAAAATTAATACCGATTCATCGCGAGCACGCGAGGAATCGATATCTCCAACTATTAGATGCTAATTACTGTGCAATTACCACCACTTTACGTATTGCGTAAGCGAGATTACTGGTGATTGATAAGTATATCCGTAAACACAATACTACATGAAGAGAATGTTATAGTTCTCTTTTTTTCTTTCATATAAATTTTTTTAATTTTGCTATGTTCTTCAGGAATAAACTGTCAGTGAAGTCTCTATTTCGCTAAAGAACGTAGTAAATCTGGCTAGAAACATAGCAAATATTTTAATAGCACATTTCACTTCCTAAAATATAAGTATCACGTATGAAATAAAAGGAATTACTGCAGAATATCAATCTATTCTTCTTTTAGTTACAAAAAATCATACAGTAATTCTTATTACAAAATTGTCTTCATTTACGTAGCGGTTAACAATAAATAAATATCGTTGAGTTCCGCACATTATTCGGACATTTACAAATTCGTAGCGCACTTCGAGTCTCGGTATTTGCGGGTGTCGAGGTGAGAAAATCGCTCTGTGTACGACGCGTCGATATTGGCTCTTACGCGTATGTACACACACGCATACTCGGTGATACTTAGTGCCTTTCTTCTGCCTCTCGCCGCCCGCGGCTGTCTCGCAATTAATCTCCCACGAAGTCGATCATGCTCGGCCGACCTCCCTGGCGGGTCACGTCAACACGAGCGCGACCTCCGATCCCGCGAGGAATTATGAGCCACGCTCGTTACCGAGCACGAGGGCGAATGCACGTGTGGAGACGACGGGGTCGCTCGTTAATCTCCACCCGATAACGCCTCTTTCGCGGTACGAGACGCGTTATCGGAGGTTGTTACCGCGAGCTGCGTACAAGATAGATAGATAGATAGAGAGAGAGAGAGAGAGAGAGAGAGAGAGAGAGAGAGAGAGAGAGAGAGAGAGAGAAAGTTCGTCCAGTGGACGACGCCGGTGGCACGACGGGGATGAGCTAAACGTCACGATTGATTGAATTTCCGTCCGGGGAGAAAATCAAGCGTGCGACATATACACGCATCCTGCAGAGCAACGCGTACGTCTTTTGAAGCCATTACGAACAGATTAATTCCGTAAATCGCTGTGACATTCACCTGGCGAGCCGCAGTACTTTAAAGCCGCCTTGTCATGTCAAGAGATTTTCTTCGCCGATTTACCTACCGCACCATGTCGACGTCAGGGAGGTCAGGGAAAGCATAACCGTAGATTCTTTTGATTTTTCTTTGTTTTTTTTTATGTTCTTGCTTTTTTCTTTTTCTGTTAAGTCAAACAGAGTGCGTGAATTTCGCACGAACCCGAGCGCTGACCTCTGCCTCTTGCTTTCAGGTTTGCAGCCTGCCAGCACCAAAGCTCAGCCAACCTCGATTGGCAAGTCCCACCGACCCAGTTCCGGTGTTCTACCTCAGGGTCACACCCCGGGACCTGGACCGGGTGGACAACAGAATAGCAGCAGAAGTTTCGCTGCAGCCTTGAGAAACCTGGCCAAGCAGGCGGGCCCGGCTCCTCAGGAAGAGGAACCCCGCGCCAGTCCGAAGAACCGGGCGCCACCTTCCTTGGTCAGAGGTCCTTCCCCTGCTAAGGTGAGTGATTACACCGGCCACGCTCGCTTTATCCTCTTCCACCGTGAAGAGAAGGAAGAGACCTCCTCTCGCGACCTCGTTCGTTCGGGACAGAAGTGCATCCGCTTCGAAACGCGAACAAAGGCGGCACCCTCTCGACCTCACTCGGTGGTCCCATGATCGGAATAATAAGCGTGCGCTTGGGGTATCGCGGGCGCAGCTGAGAAAAATCGTTGACATCGGTCGTCTTGGGTCGGTCTTCGCCTCGCCACTGTGGACGGCACATTTTCTTTTCTTTTTTTTATTTATTTATTTATTTTTTTCTTTTCGTACGGTTAGGTTGATGAGGAATGTTGTAAATGGATGCGTAACAGCACGGACGAGAGAAGGGTGCATATATTTACTCTTTCTCTTTAGGATCTTTCGGGTCCGCTTGTTACCGATGACACGATTTATTTAGTAACATCACCGAGAGCCTGTCGCTGTTTGTGCGTCGCATGTAGGAAAATCACGAAGTTACTTGAACGGTGAAATTTCGGTGAAAACTCTCGGGAGCTTCGGATACTATGCACAAATGACTGAATAATGTTCGTCGATCAACTCCGCGGGGAAATTACGCGCCGTCAGAAATTTAATTCGATATTTAACGAGACACTCTCGACGTGTCGGGAATTAAAAGCTCCTGATTGATGGCTTCTCACGCGACTCGCGTATCAGAAAAGGGCTGGTAATCAAGAGAAAGCGTGCGAATTCCCGGACACCTTGTGTACAATATTGCGACCCATTTCGAGGTTCACGTGGTCTTGAGGCGTAATTCCTGCCTGAAATTACGATCTCGTCACTAAGGACGAAGGTGTCGAGGTGTTATATAGAATTACTAACGTCAAACAGCGCGAAAGGAAAAAAGAGTGCACGCATTTCAAGCGGCTTCGCGGGATTGCTAGTAGTGTCAAAGGCTCAAAGGTGAATCGAAAACGCAGCCAATCCCGGTAACGAAATGAAAAAGATGCTCGCTCGGGTGGAAAGCGAATAAGGTAGCTCAATTCCCGATAATCGCGAGATCAAAGACCCACCCCGCTCCACGATTGTATCGCCCGTCGTTGCATTGCAAATGCAGAGCATCATCTCCTAAGCCTGATTTCCAGCCTGACATTCCGAGTTAAGTAATCCGAGAGAGTAAGCGCGATACGCTTCGCTTTTTAATTTGCATCCTTCATTCGCGATATAAGAGCATGCACATTCATTCTCAAAGAGTCAACGATTACTGACATCGTTGTGACCTGAATATTTATTGATTACAGTTATGTAACTTTTCTTGGACAAACAACAGAGTTAGGAAACAGAGTTAGGAGAATAATAGCGATATAGATGTTTACCTCTGCTGATAGTACAGAATCCATTAGATTAATTTTTCGAATTTTCATACTCGCGAGGACGGCATTTTGCATCGACGCCTTGGCCCAACCGGAGGTTCTTCCTACCAATTTCCACGGCGAAGTCATCCGAGCGGCAACTCATTGCCGGTTCAGTGCACGACTTCGTTACAACGCCCAGCAATAAACTGCGAACCGCTCGTAACGTTTAAGTGGCGGAAGAGACTATAAGCTGAGGAAAATTTCAGGCAATTTGCGTTGCCCCGCACCTTCTAGGAAATCGCCTTGAAAATATTGTTAACTCTCGGGATACTGTCGGTTTCCCGCCACCTAACTCCCGCTTTTTCTTCCTGCGAATTTGTGTTTGCGCAAAACAAATGCCGCTTTTTCAATTCAACCGCGACAAGATAACGAATGTTAAGTACAATTTGACGCGATTTGTCGCGAGTCAATACTAATTATTTAAATTGAAGCGATTGTATCGTCGACCACCACTAAGGGGGTCGTTGTTACTAATTATTACGAGAAGAAGATACATCTCGCGGAGTTATACGTTGTGTTTACCGAGAAGTAATCATTGAAATATGTTTTCTTTAGGAGCGATCGACACATGAACGAAGACCCGAGGAGATCCCCTCCTTATACACTACGACTGCCAGGCCCGTTGAAACCAGCAAGCACAGCGTAACTGCCGCGGCTTCCGAATTGCTGGCCCGTTCCGGTTTTCAGCCGTACCGGCCCGAGCACCATCCGGCCCATCCACCGACGTTCGCCCTGGATCCTACGACCTATAGCGCCTATCATCCTGGTCTCTACCCACCGCCTCATCTGCAACACGCTTATAGGTGAGCAACGTTATCGCTAACTTTCACGCTATCAAGGGGGTAATTGCGGGGAGGAAATCCGATGTTCTCCTGTTAAGTAATCTCTAAAGGTCTAAAGACCTCTTCTGGAAATGTTAGTTAAAGAGATTCGACTGTACGAATTTTCCTTCTGTTTATACTATTTCGTACTAACATAATTTCATATACCATTCACAGATTAGAGGAACAGTTGTACTTGGAGCGGTGCGGAATGCTGAGACCGCCGTTGTTTCCCGGGTTGCCGTCGTATCCTCTTTATGGATTGAGATACAGTCCAGACATGCTTCCTCCGCCGCCCGCCTCCTTAAGCCTCATGTCTCCCGTGATGCACGAGCGGTAAGTAATGAGTATAGAAAAAGAATGGGGAAAAAAAGAGACGAGAAAGAACTGTTCAAGTTTCTAGGGAAGACACCAAATTTCTCAATTAACGCAACGATATATGCTTTCTCGTTTCAGGCTGAAGCTGGAGGAGGAACATAGGCTGAGGCAAGCACGGGAGCAGGCTGCGTTGCGAGAGGAGGAGGAGAGGAGAAGAGCAGCGAGAAGTTCTGCTTCCGCCGCACCGGTACCCACTCCTGCACCTGCATCCGCCGATACTGCAGGTGAGCGAGTCGCTCCACCCCCCACTGCCTTTCATTAAAAAAGAAAGCATCGATCGAAGCGCGATTGCGATCTGCCCGATCGCTCGTTAAGGCGCGGTCTCTTTTTTCTTGTCTCTCTGTCTCTCTGTCTCTCTCTCTCTCTCTCTCTCTCTCTCTCTCTCTCTCTCTCTC